TGAATGGTTGATAATCCTTACCCACCCCAAGCCCCAACCCTATCCTGTCCTATAACTTCATGAGGACAAATACTTGCTAAAATTCTTTCAATTGTTAAAACTGTACAAATTATGTAAAAAAAAAAAAAAAAATGGGACTACAGATGCGTGTTGGTGGAATTAGGGGCAAACTCCACTTTAAACATAAAACAACTTACTTCCTAATATATTCCAGCCTTGGAACAGACAATAATACTGATCCCTATTGAATTTTCCTGATTCCATCTGCTTCCTGGAATTGATTCGGCTATGTCCAACCTTTCATATTTAATGACAAAGAGAGAAAGGAGTGTGTCAAAGGTCTGGAAAAATCAGACAGGTCTGATATTCTCTTGAAGTATGGATTCGGGCAGTCAGAAGGATCTGAAAGTTTCCTGTCCCATATTTGTTCATCTCTCTCCTTCCTCTAGCTATCTCTTGTGATTATATGAATGTACTACTAATTACTGTTTATGGTTAATTTTCATGATACTGTAATAAACAGCAAAGTGAAGTTAAATTCTGGTGTAAGTTTTACTTTAATTAAAATAACACTGTATTTTACTCAAGTGTTCAATATTTCTTATTTGGTTTATATGGCAGATTTACTTTACTAATTAAAACAATAACAATAACAACCAGAGACAGCATTAGAAATGCCCAATAAATACTGGTTGTATAAATTAATAAACTCTGTGTTTACTTGAAGTGCCACGTATCAAATATTCTAACATTCACTGAGCACCTACTGTATATGTATCAGGGATTATCTTTGTTTTATTTGGGGTAAGAGTGCAAATGAAAATCCTCACTACTTACTCCCAACAAGGATTCTTTGAATTCTCCCTAGCTATATAATCAAGTGGGGATTCATTCTCCTTTTTCAATCTCTTGCATTACAAATTTACAATTTCTGATCATTCTTTAATTATTATCCATTAGTCTTTAAAGTTTCATCTGCACAAGTTACATCTTTGCTTTAGAAAACAAGATCACCATTTGGAAACACTGCTTCAAAATGAGAATATACAGTATCAAGTAGAATGCCATCAAATAATATCTCTTCCCTGGATGGTTATGTCCTTATATGGAAGGAGTGTTTAAGAACAATAATGATTTAGAAGTTTAGAGAAAAAACAGTGATAACAACTCAGATTCAGAATGGCTGCTAAACCAGGGCATTTTAACACTTAAAAAAAAAAAAAAACGAAACAAAAAAGAGGAAGGGATTATTTTAAAATAATGATACTTCCAACTTAATATATCTTTAATCTGATGAAAAATGATTCTCAGGATATATTTATAAGGTTCACTACAAAGACTCATGTTCATCTTTTTTCACCGATATTCAGAAAGTCACATAATACTTTGAAAGCCACAGACAGTATGTGTTTATACATATTACATCCAAATATATATGTACTCTTCTAAATCAGAAAAACATATACACACTTAGAGACATTTTTATTTGCTCTCAACCTTTTACTGTCTTTTAAAAACTTGTTTTCTAGAATCCTTTTTCTATTTCATCACCTGATTTCTTAATTTTTAGATATTCTTGTCTCTCTACCTTAAAACATTCAGTCTGCCTGGGTCTACCTGTTGCCCTGTGGCTGCCCCAATCCTATTTTAACTCTATTTTAGTTCTCCTGAATTCCTAAATCACTGCTTTTTTTTCTGTCTATAGTCAGTCTGCCCCCATTCCCTCTTATTTCCCCACAAAACTATCATTCTCTCACATAACCCAGCTTTTTTAAATGGGAGATGAGTAGATTCTTCAAATTAAATCATTCTAATTTGTCTATGGGCAAATATTACATTTTAAAATACCAAAATAAAATAATACTCATTCTTTTTAAAAACTTCTATAAATATTAGACATGTATGGATAGTTTGAACTAATTTAGACTTCTTGAAATTAAGCTTTTTCTTTATTTTAAAAAGCACTTATCAAGTCCTGGTCCATTATATTGCAATAATCTTAGGACAATAATGAGATACCACTTCACATTCACCAGGACGGCTATTTAAAAAGAAAGGAACTAGGAAGGATGGACTGAAGGTAGGTAGGAAGGTGACAAGTGTTGGCAAGATGTGAAAAAATTAGAACTCGTGTACACTATTAGTAGAAATGTAAAATGTGCAGCCTTAGGAAAATAATTTGGTGGTTCCTCAAAAAGTTAAACAGAATTATCATGTGATTTAGTAGTACCCAAAGAATGAAAAACAAATATTCAAACAAATATTTGTACATGAATGTTCACAGCAGCACTCCTCACAATAGCCAACCCAAATGTTTGTAAGTCAAGAATGAATAAGCAAAATGTGACGTATCTGCATGATGGAATATTAATCAGCCAGAAAAAGGAATGAAGCACTAATATATGCTATGTGGATGAACTCTGAAAACAACAAGAAAAAGAAGGCAGACATAAAAGACCTATATTTTATGACTTCACTTAGATACAATATCCAAAATAGGAAGATTCAGAGACAGAAAACAAATTGTTCCTAGGGGATGGGAGAGGGGTTAATGGGGAGTGACCATTTAACAGGGGCAGGGTTTTCTTTAGATGCAATGAAAGTGTTCTGGAACTCGATAAAGCTGGTAGTTGCACAACATTGTGGATGTATTAAATAACACTGAGTTGTTTACTTCTTAAAAAAAATTCTTAACTTTACATGAATTTTATTTCAGTTTTTAAAAAAGCTTAAGAAACTCATAGAATTTGTTTTAAAATTTTTATTTTCTTTAGTAATAATAAATCTATTTACCATAAATATCATGTAGTATTTGAGGTTTTACCAAGTTATTCACCTGACAAGGGGCTTTCTTGATTATCAAGGGTACATATATATTTGGATGTAATCTGTATAAACACATACTGTCTGTGGCTTTCAAAGTATTTTACATGACTTTCTGAATATCAGTGAAAAAAAAATTTACATGAGTCTTTGTAGTGAACCTTATAAATATATCCTGAGAATCATTTTTCTAATAACTAATCTTTGGAAAGACTAGTACTTTCCAAAGTACTCTTTGGAAGGACAGTGTGAAAAAACCTCAACCAATAAGGGTTTGTGAAATTTTAATGTCGCTTGACAAAAATGATCAGAAAAAGAAGGAACTTAACACTAAGTAGTTCCTAAGGTTGATACTCCACAGTTGCAAGTGCAGATGTCATTCTATCCAAGCCTTTAGAGATCACTTTGAAAAGCAATCCAGAACAGTTATATTGTGTACATAATAAACATATACCTATAGAACAAAATAAAACCTGCAAATGGGTACTCAAGATTTTCCAATGGTGTCCTTCTATAGACTTAAAAAATGCTTCATATAAAAAAATTCAGGTGACTTAACCTAAGAAATTAGATGGTTCACAAAATAGCTCTATTTGATTACAAATACAAAGATGTAAAAGACATGTAAAAAAATTTGAATGAAATTGTTTTATAAAAGTTGAGATGTTAAAAAAAGCAAAATTCCTTATGTAATATATGATTTTAATATATTCAAGTTATCAAATCTGTTTGGGATTTTGGGAAATGAGAGATTATCTTGGATTCAAGAATTATCAAGCCAGGCATGGTGGATGCTCTGGTAATCCCAGTAATTCAAGAGGCTGAAGCAGAAGGATTGTAAGTTTGAGGCCAGCCTCAGCAACTTAAGGAGGCCCTAAGCAAATCAGCAAGACCCTGTCTCAAAAAATAAAAAGGACTGAGAATGTGGCTCAGCAATTAAGTACCACTGGGTTTAGTCCTTGGTACGGAAAAAAAAAAAAAAAGAAAGAAAGAAAGAAAAGATTTATCATTTATCAATATGTATATTAGAAAAGAAATTTTGAAAAGAACTATATTATAAATATTAAACGGTAGCTCCCATTTACTAATATTCTTCTTAAAACAGATAATCAGGACCCTAAATTCCAAATGGTTTCTGATCAGCTTACATTCTTTTTTTTTTTTTAAAGTTAAGACTATATCAGCATTGCTAGTGTTACAAAATATTGATAGTTTAAGTTTACAGTGTGCTTTACTATCTACTGGAATCTTCAATATCTACCACTTACGCCACACAACCTTCCACATTCAATTTTAGAAAAGTTTAGATATGTGGAAAACACATTCACCTTCGAATAAAGGAAGTTTCTCATTCGTGGTCACACAAAGTTCTCTATGTCCATTCTATATTTTTTTAGCCTAAGCTTACTGCTCAGTAATCAAGATACACATCACCCATTTCTTGTTTTATCTCCCTGGAATAAAAAACTTTATGCTCAGTTTAAGAAGAAAATCACATTAGCAGAAGCAATGTGACTGACTGACTGAATGAATGAATGAATGATTTGGGGGTCTTAATCAGAGAGAAAGAAAAAGTGAACATACAAATGTAGAAATGATGAAGAAATGACTATCCCTAAGTTTTTTAGAAATGAATGCACAAACTCAGTTTTCCTTTCAATGTTTTCTTGGCAGCAGTAGTGGGTACCAAGTCACAAAGGAGATGGAAATTTCTCTGTCTATATCTCTCATATAAGTTCTTAGAAAGGGGTTACAGGACTCCAATTCTCCCCTTGCTTATAAAATAACCCATTTATAAAAATACAGCCACCAATTTATTTCTAGGTTTTAAAAACTTGATGCTGATACTTAGGAAGCAAAAATGCTAATTATATATTAATCTTATTAGTGATAAATCTCACCCAATGAAATGTCTATAAACTTCTCATGTGCCAAAATTAAATGTAATCTGCTACAAATAAAAGCAAGTATCCTTATTTCAAAAATTTTATCTGTCACTATTTTGTTCAAGGCCATACAAAAATTGGACTAATAAATTATAGGGTGCTTCATACCTCCATAAATGCTTACTAATATATCTACTGTTGTTCTCCACAGATTTTCATTAACAGAGTCTCATTCCATATCCAGTGTGCACCTTTCCCAGAAATGGTTAAGAGTTTAGTGTTTGGAATTACCTTGGGTGGTGAAGTTGAAGAGTGCAGGTGTGTCTCGCCCATTTGGTAGTTTGACATTTGGGTCCCTCAGTTCATCAAAAAATGAATGTGCACAAGCTTCCAGTGGTGTCAATCGGGCAGTTGGTGTATACTCCAGCAGACGGCTACACAATGCAATTGCCTCCGGTGGAGTTCGGGGTCGGAAGACCTGCAGTACAAAAAGAGGAAAGAACAGTTAATATTTTATTATTAAAAACCTAAGCAAATAGCTCTCTGAGTAATGAGTTAATTCCCACCTGTACAAAAACATGGTTGCATTTGGGAAAGGAACCTTGTAGGATAAAAAAAGTTAACTGCATATGATTCGCCACACTGGGGTAAACTGCTAATTTTAAAGACTATGTGAGAAAAGCTCAGAGAAAAATCTACATAAGCTAAACATAAAGCAATATAATTAAACATGCATATAAAATATATCAGGCACATGGGAAAGGCTGAGTTTTGGAGGCAAGCACAACAAAAAGAGCATTAAAAAAAATCTTCAAAGTTTTGACTACTGTGGCAGTAAATAAAAGATTGCCTCTCTGGTGTCAACAACTGTTGATAATGGATGGCACTATTCAAATTAAGAAATCAATAATTTTTCTAAAAAGAAAGAAAAGCTGTTATTCTAAGTCTTCTAATGCTAATAATTGGTATTATTTTCTCAATATACAAAGCCTATCATTTACTTTGACAAAATGTTTGATGTTTTCTTCAAGTAACTGTTATCATGAATGTGGCCAGATCACTCTCATTTGAATTAATTTGAATGAATATTCTAAGGCTTTTTTCAGGAGCGGATACTGTCTTTTTCATTAAAAGCTACAAAAAAAAAAAAAAAAAAAAGTCACAGAAATAGGAATCTAAAGGCTATATTGAAATAAAATGTAATTAACTTGATTAAAAGAAGAGATAGCTTTCTACTCATCAATGTCTTAAAATGAATCAAAACATAAAATTATGAAAATATATTTCAACCTAAAGTATGGCCAGTTAAAGGGTAAAGAAGGAGTAGAAATAAACAGAAATGAAATTAAATGTCCAAAAGCCTCTGAAATCAAATAAAAACAAAACATACAACTTTTGATAGAAAGAACATACAACCAAAATAAAAGTTATGGTGCAGAAATATAAAGAAAAACAGACATGCATAAATGGAGGGCAATAGACCCATAAATGAGGAAAGGACATGCAGAGGTGATAGGGCATAAGGCATGAAGGACTCTGGGAGGCTAAGATTTCCTAATGAGAATGGTTCATATAACATCTGGATGTTCACTTAGGCCAAATGTAGGATAGAATTAGTTACAACCAGAGTTCTTTAAATATTTAAAAGAATAAGAATACTTTCTACAAAACTACTGAAAACTGGTTGTTGTTGGGTTTCTTTCTTTCTTTTTTTCCTTTCTCTTGTTTTTGCTTTTGTTTTTACATAGTTTGTTACTGAAAGATTATTTTCCATGGGAATTGAGAGACTGAGTTGATAGGATCTTAGAAATTAATTCAGATCTTTAAAGGTCTTAGTCAATATTGGCTATGATAGAAAGCCCTTTGTATGGTCCAAAACAGACTTCGTCTTTATTTCTGAGAATTTTGATTGTCTCCATCAAAGAAACCTTAAAGCGATCGTATTATTTAAAATGTTTAGATCTTCCACTATTATTTGCCATTTTCCCCTCTCTTGCTTTAAGAGAGACGAATATGACAATAATCAAATCCAGAACGCAAAATAAAAATGGTCAGAGGAAAAACTCAGAAAATTTATCATAAAAATATTAAACACTACTGACATATTTTATTCCTGAGGGCAGATTGAATCTACTTGACAGTATATAGATTAGTTTGCTAGCTAATCCAAAATGCTTTGGTACCAATAATAGTGTCATATAACTAGAATTAAATACAGTAACAAAAACTAAATATTTCTAAACTTCAACTATAGGGAAACTAGGTGGTGAGTTATATAAAATAAAAAATTCATATTTTAATAACAAACTCCTGTTTATTATCTTTATCTTGTTAAAGGTATGAATAAACCAGTACTGTAAGCTTATTTCTGATTATGTTTAAAAAGCCCCTAGCCCCTGGTATTTTACTGGCTTTGAGTGATTACCCATTTTGGTTCTAAGACATATATTAGCTTATGTTGTCAGAAATCCTAACTAATGGAGTTAAAGAGCTAAAAATAATACAGATAACAAGTAATTCCAAGAACCTACATTAAAATCAAGATTAAACCTTTCTTTTTTTTTAAAAAAAATATCTTCTGTACTTTAAATCCTTTGAGAGATTTTTCATAAGAAGAACCCTGGTTCAGTACTCTGTGGATAAAGGTTAGTGGGAAATTATGTGGGGTCAAAACCCAGTATCTTTCAGAGTTTAGATTTCTGACCATAATATAGGATGTGATAGCATGCAATTTTCAAAAATTACTGTACAAATTAGAAACTAGCTCTTCTGAATTTCCTTTGTGTCTAAAGTAAAGGAAACCAGTAACTACTAAAATTTGGCTTTTAATAAATAAGTTTCAACTGCTATATCATTTCTTACTCACTGAAATAGCTCAATACTTAAAAACCTTTGGTTTCATGAATCTTCATCAATGTTTATTCTTACAAGAATAATAATTTTAAAACCTTACAATTTCTGTCAATGGTTCACCTAGGAGACTGACAATCTAAAAATGTAACAAGAAAATCTATACCATACAATGAATAAAAAATAAAAATCATAGCCTCCTACATTTTTACTAGCACATTTCAAGAATAAACAATTGTTTAGCCTTTCAAAAAATGCACCCCCCCACCCAAGTTTTATAGACCTGCCCTGTAAATTTTTTGGGGAAAAAAAATAAAGTACATACCCGCACTCCTGAGGTGAAATGTCCTGTTCCTGACGAATCCTAAAGATGATAATGCAGTGAAATAATCCAAACAGGGAAGTCAATCCAAAAGAGAATAGTCCAGCAAGGAAAAATATATCCAATGTTATAAGAAATCCATGGTGTAGGGGGACACAGAAAATGTTTATACAGTTATAAACTTTAAACATTAGTCTCCACAGTAGCAAGTCCAAATTTTAAAAATTATTTCACCACAGTGTATGCAAAAATTTTTTTTGATTGTGCAATGGTGAGGCACAGTAAAGAAACATTTAAATTTTATTTTATCATGTTCCAATGCCAGTGTGTTTATTAAAAAAATACAAAACCAAAAAAAGTTAAAATCAAAATGAAATCTAGAAGTAAAGTTCCCAAAGTAAAGTGGTCTTCTACGACCTGGATTTATCATCCATAGACGTGGCTGGGAGGGGGCATATTAGCCTGCTTTTAAAGATATATGTTCCCAATATACTAATTTTTCTCAATTAATGTGTCCCAGTTACACAGTATAAACATTTTTTTGCTAAGTTATTAGTTACAAGAGAAATGTATTAAATATATTTAATTTATATTACTATAGATTTCAAGCCAGATATTTTCAATTTGTGTGAGCTAAGAAGGATCAGGCCACCGCGGATTATTCTCCAGTTTTGGATTGACTTCCCTGCTAAAAGATGTTATTTGCTGACAGTCTCATTATTTTAGGATTCTTCAGGAAATTGACATATCATCTCAGGAGTGCGGGTATAAACTTACTTTGTGTATTGTGGGCTCTACCCCCTCATACCCTTGCACCCATTACTTAAGAAAAATAAATAGAGAGCATTTCTTTCCTTTTTGGAAAAACTTACTGAAAAAAAAAATCCTAAATCTTTGAGCACTACAAATTCAACAACAGTTCCATCTGCAAATATGCCCAATTCACCCACCAAAAGCTAAACAAAAATGTATACAATAAACAATACAACTAAGGGACAGTCACAGTTACAGGTGACATGCATAGTAATGTACACCAACACCTAGGCACAACGGAGCCAAATATATAAGGGAGGTAGCAGGGTCTATTATGTCTAGGCATTGAGAACAAACAAACAAACAAAAAAAGGGCAGAACTCACCAGTAGCTGTGAACACCCTTGGCTATTCTAAGAGAATGTAACATTCTTTTAGGATAGTTTCCAGTGGGGGAATTAAATATTTTGCAAAATAAATAATCCGCGGATTACTTTTAGTCTGCAGACTAAAATTTAGTACATGGATTAAAATCCAGCCCATCAGAATAAAAAAATCTCAAAACAACCACGTGGACAAAAATAGAAAACCATATTAAAAAAACTGATAGCACAAAGTAAAACTGAACTGGGCCAACTAATAATTAGTGCGCAGACTAAATATGGCCAGCCAAGTATGCAGCAAGGCCATGGAGACCCCAAAACACCCCTTTAAAAACTAACAACAAAAGTAGTAAAACGAAATAAAACAAAGCAAAAACAAAAGGGAGGGGAGTAAGGGGGGAAGAAAAGGAAAGAAAGCAAAAATAAAGAAAAGAGGAAAAATTCAAAAGAACTAAACAAACCACTGACATGAACTTTTAAAGTGATTCAAATACTACCTCACCTATGCAGCAACATATTAAATTGAAATAAATATCAACTCTCATCACAATTACTAGTCCACAGAAGAACCTAACAGAAAAAAAGTTTTTTTCAAAAAGGAAGTCTCTGTGGTATTGATCAAATGCAAACAAATCCTTAAATAAAGAATTATTCAAAATAAATTTGCATTTGGAAAACTCAAAAATGACAGAGGCAATTTTTTCTCTATATGTTTTTTAGAACATACTTTGGCCATCGAAGTTCAACCTACAGCTAATTGTTACAACTGAATCAAAAGCCCTTTAAAATGGACATTTATAAACAATCATATGCAACCATATCAAGGCCCCATCATGGCATCAGCTTTTACCAACTCTTGTACTATGCAGCCAATCAGAGCAATATAAAAATGTCTACTTTTTATGGTTATGGACAGTAACAATTAATTTCATAGAATATAGACAAGTACTATGACTGTTCCACACAGCTTCTTCTCACTTTTCTGGTCATACACAAAATTTAAAAACTCCTAATTTTGAAAACTGATAAAAATATTCCTAAAGAGCAATTCCAATATTGGCTATCAAGTAATCTATTAATCATCTAAAATTATTTGTAATTTGTAACCCTAAATATAGGATTAGAAGTGAAACAATATATGGATCTGTTGAATGACTGTATATGTTAATTA